AACAACATTGGGCACGACAATGAGACACAAATTGAAATAACCGAATACATTCAGTCGGGATTGGTTCTTGGTCAAGTTGAAAAGTTAGTCATCAGTTATGATAGGTACAATCCTACCCGTGGTTCATCATTCATTCCATTACCCGACTGGGTGGCAAACAAAAAGGCTTGTATTAATATTAAAAATGAGGACGTGTTTTAAATATTCCGTTCAATGTGATTTTATGAGTTATTCAAAAACGACCATCCCTGCGACATGTATCATTATAAGAAATACGTAGATGACAAATTTATCAAATGGGACGGAATAGACTTTCCAGTAGGTAATGATGAGATTGAACTATTTGAAGAACAGAACAAACACATGTCGGTCAATGTTTATTACATAAACCCCGATACGAATAGTAAAACTATTTTATTATACAAAAGAAGCAACAACCCACAAGCACAACACAAAATCGATTTAATTAAATTGACTGATGAAGTTAAATCGCATTACGCTTATATCAAAAATTACGATAAGTTAATGAGTAGTCAGACTAACAAGATGAAGGCGAAGAAGTATCACTGTAGAACCTGCTCACATGGTTTCAAGACCGAAGAACTTTTAAAGAAACACGAAGAACAAGGATGTCTAGCAGTTGAGGGTCAAAAATAGAAATGCCAGAAGCAGGTGAAACAATAGTATTCAAAAACCATTTCAAGAAACTTAAAGCTCCATTCGTAATCTATGCCGACTTTGAATGTTTAACTGTACCAATTGATGTTAAAAGCAAATCGGCAAAAGCTAAAACTACATCATATCAAAATCATCGTCCCTGTGGTTTTATGATTAATGTAGTCAATGCTATAACCGGAAGTAGTGAGCCTTACTTATATAGAGGTCAGGATTGTATGGATAAATTTGTTGAGAAAATCAATAAAGTCAGAGAGGAAGTTTTGGAGAAAATGAAGGAGGACAAAGACCGTATTGAAACCGAGAAGGACTGGGAGGACTTCAATAATGCCACTATCTGCTTCATTTGTGGAAACAAATTTGAGGAAGGAGAAAAGAAGTGTTGGGACCATTGCCACTTTACGGGACAGTATAGAGGTTGCGCCCACGAGGACTGCAATCTACGATTTAGTATGAGATATTATAAAATCCCTGTGTTTCTTCATAACCTTAAAAACTACGATGCCCACTTAATCATCAACAAGGCTCACGAACTGAACAAGAATTCTAAAATAGAATGTATCGCTCAGAACAGCGAAAAGTTTATAACCTTTGGTTTTAAAAATCTTTGTTAAGGACAGTTTCAGTTTCTTATCGTCTTCGTTGGATAAGTTGGTGAAGTTGAGTAAATATGAGGATGATAAAAAGCGTGAGAATTGGAAGAACAATTTCAGATACAGCGTTAGAAACCCGTATGTTAAAACCGATGAAGATTTGGATTTGTTGACTGATAAGGGTATTTATCCCTATGACTACTTTGATGATTTTGAAAGATTTAAGGAAAGGGCTTTACCGCCGAAAGAAGCGTTTTACAGTAAATTGAGTGAAGAACATGTAAGCGATAAAGATTATGAAAGGGCACTAAAAGTATGGGGGCACTTCGGGATTAGAACACTCGGGCAGTATCACGACTTGTATTTAAGAACTGATGTTTTACTACTGACCGATGTATTTGAAAACTTTAGAGACTTGTGTATGGAATACTACGGTTTAGACCCCGCTCATTATTACACGTTGCCAAATTTCGCATGGGACGCGATGCTTCTAAAAACTGGCGTTGAAATAGAACAATTGCATGACCAAGAAATGTTTGAGATGGTTGAAAAGGGAATGAGAGGTGGTATGTGTCAGGTTAGTCATAAATTAGCGGTGGCAAATAATAAGTATATGGGAGAAGCATATGATGAGAACAAGCCATCAAATTATATTAGCTACTTGGATGCTAATAACTTGTATGGTTTAGCAATGTCCCAGAAGTTGCCGCTAAAAAATATCAAGTGGACAAAGAAAACTCCCATTGTTGAAAAATGGAATGAAAACGATGAGTTCGGTTATATTATGGAAGTTGATTTGGAATATCCCGAAACATTGCACGACTTCCACTCTGACTATCCACTAGCGCCTGAAATAATGAATGTAAATGTGAATATGCTCTCCGATTATCAAAAGCAAGTCTACAAAATATATTATGATGGTAAAAGTCCCAAGGACGAGAAAACAAGTAAGTTAATATTAAATCTAAAGGATAAAGAAAAATATGTGGTTCATATTAAGACTTTACAGTATTATTTGAAAATGGGAATGAAAATGGGTAAAGTCCATAGGATAATCAAATTTCAACAGAGGGCTTGGTTGAAACCGTGGATTGACTTCAACACTGGTAAAAGGAAAGAAGCCAAAAGCGATTTTGAGAAAGATTTATTCAAATTAATGAATAACGCGGTGTACGGAAAAACTATGGAAGACAAGCGAAACCATATGGATTTTGAATTAGTTGATAATGAGGTAAGATATGAAAAATGTGTTAATAATCCAACATTCAAAAACAGATTTATTATTAATGAAAATCTCGTAGGAGTTGAGAAAACTAAAGCGAAGCTGAAATTGGATAAGCCGATTTTCCTGGGAATGAGCATTTTAGATTTAAGCAAATTACATATGTATCAGTTTTACTATGATGTATTGAAAAAAAAGTATAATGAAAACATAAAACTGGTTTATACCGATACTGACAGTTATGTAATTCAAACAATGACTGATGATGTCTATAAGGATTTCAATGATATAAAGCAACACATGGATTTTAGCGACTATCCTGTTGAGCATCCATGTCATGACAAAACTAATAAGAAGGTCTTAGGAATGTTTAAGGACGAAGTGAATGGAAAAATCATTACTAAATTCATTGGATTAAAACCTAAATCATATGCCTTCACAATTCACGGTGAGGATGATGAACATAAGAAATCAAAAGGTGTAGTGAAACACAAAGTTAAAAAAGAACTGTCGTATCAGAACTACCACGAAGCATTATTTCAAAACAAAAAGCATGAAATCACATATAACTTCATCAGAAGTAAGTCGCATCAAATATATTCAATGTCTCAAGTAAAGCAATCTCTCAGTAATTATGAAAATAAAAGGTTTTATAGTGATGCTTTCACTTCATTACCATATGGGCATTACAGCATTTCAGGATGAAATGCTCTAATGAGCTTTGCGACATTACGCTATTACAAAGTAATAGCCTAATGAGCTTCGCGACATTACTCCATAAAATAATTATCTAAATAGTTCTAATAATATGAAATTATTAGAATTATTTTCAGGGACAGGGTCGGTTGGTTGGGTTTGGGATTGGGTTTGAAACTGGAAATGTGGGTTTGGGGATGAGGTTGAAACTGAAAACATTAAAGTTTATGTATTTGTTGGTTTTGGGGGAGTTGAAAATGGAGGATTATGCCCTTATTTTGGTGGTTAGGGATTGTTGGGATTTAAGGGTTTGCGAAGAGCTCCCTTGAAATTGGGGTTGGTCTAAAACATTGAAACAAAAAATCGGCGAGAGTTTAACCTTACACAACGGTTTAGGGTTGTAAGACAAAACGCCCGACACCCGAGGGAGGTG